AGTTAGCTATGAATGTTCAGAAAAAGGGAAGATAATTTATCTAAATTCATTTTAATCTTCTTTCATTATAATTTATACATGATTTAATTTCATAGTGAGAATTAAACTTTGATTTTAAAAAGAATGACCTCAGTACCCTGACTTTTTCAAAAATTGATTTCTTTTCAACGTATAGTTTTTTATTTTAATTTTTGCTCCTATATTGGCTAGTAACTTTTCACTTGGGGCTAGTAACTTTATAGCTGCCATTAGCCCGTGGGCTAGTTATTGATTTTTCTAATTGCACACCCCTGTAAACATTTCTCAATGCTTACATAAGTATTTAGTCAGCGAATATGCGTACACATGGCATGATTTTCAATGTTTTGTTTATCAGTGTTTAATTCGGGAGCTTACTTGAAATTAATTTTTAAATTTCTACAAATAAAAAAATGTTAAATAATTGAGAAGATTAATTTTCGACATTCACAAACAATGAATCAATGGAAACATATGGATATAACTTGTAATCTAAGTCATTCCATGCTGTCATTTGCCCTTTCTGCATATTATGAAATCCAATTCAATCAAATTTAATGGTCAACCTATATATCTATCTTCTGATAGTACGAAAAAAATCCGTTTCTTTTTTTAGATCGGAGAATTGCCTAAATAATTATTTATAATCTAAAATATTACATGTAATCTTACATGTATGTAGTTACAGAAATATTCATTTCCATTTTTTTTTGTTTTTTTATATTTCAAATTCTATGAAATAATATTAATAATTCTTTGAAATCTTAAATCAGTATTAAACCATTTTTCGTTTTGAAAATATCGATTCCTAGATATTTTCAACTATTTTGAGTGAAGAATTGTGTGTTTGCATTAGCCGTTAGCAATCGTATAAGATCTTGTAACGTGTAGAATCGTGTGCGTGAAGGATCGTTCGTCTAACAGGTTTAATCGTGCATTAATCGTGCGTTAATCATGCGGAATCGTTCTTGTAAGTTGTCAACAATAACATTGCAGCCATTTGTATGGATTATATAAAGAATATGAATACAATATAAAACAAATATATATTTCAATTATCTACAAGTATATTCAATCACTAAAGGCTTAGCCATTTACATCACTACCAAAGTCAGTGTCCCATCTTTTAATATCAACTTTAATAAACTCTCTATATTATCCTTGAAGGGCCATTAGTTAGTACTTTTTATTTTAAGCGCTGGTGATAATTAGTTGATTCACGTTAATTATCACCTTGCAGTCCTCATGCAGCTACACTAGTACAAACATAACAGTCAGTCCAAGTGTTGTTGGTCTCTATCAGAAGGAAATTAAAATGGTCCTTATTGGGGTCAAGATTTGTGTACAGCCATGTTGATATACTGTAGAAGCCCCAAATTTTTGTGGGCATGAAATTTTGTTGATTTTTCATCAAAATCAGTTTCGTAGGCATTCAATTTCGTTGTTTTGAAAATAACCCTATTCAGTTCATAGTCAAAAGATTTTTTTGTGTGGGTTTTAAATTTTCGTTGAAAATGGTTTCAAATGAAATAAACAAAATTTAATCCCACACAAATATGCCTTTTTTACAGCATCATGGGTAAATTACAATAGACAAGAGGTCAAGGGGCCACATCGCTCACCTGAGCAATTGGCTAGGAAAAAGCACACATCAGATCAGAACTGAAAGTTAACTGAGGGGTGGGGAGGGGGGGGAGGCTTAAATTTTTAAACCCCCCCAAAAGGGTAAATATTTGAACAAACTAGAATCTACAATACCTGAGGATGATTCCCTAAAAATACCCACTAAGCTTTGAAGTACTTGAAAAGAAGATTTTAAAAGGTTTCCCAATATTCCTATTTAAAACTTTTAAGGGGCTATTTGGCCCCACCCTACCCCCTGGGGTCATGATTTGAACAAACTTGAATCTACACTACCTGAAGATGATTCCACATGAGTTTCATCTTTCTTGTCTCAATGGTTCTTGACAAGAAGATTTTTTTATATTCCTTTGTAAAACTTTGGGCCATTTTGGCCCCACCCTCCCCCCCGGGGGTCATGATTTGAACAAACTTGAATCTACACTACCTGAGGATGATTCCACATGAGTTTCATCTTTCCTGGCCCAGTGGTTCTTGAGAAGAAGATTTTCAAAAGATTTTTCCTATATATTCCTATGTAAAACTTTATTCGGTTTTTGGAACCCCTCCCCAGGGGTCATGATTTGAACAAACTTAATTTACACTACCTGAGGATGATTCCACATGAGTTTCATCTTTCCTGGCCAAGTGGTTCTTGAGAAGAAGATTTTTAAAGATTTTTCCTATATATTCCTATGTAAAACTTTCATCGGCCATTGTGGCCCCACCCTACCCCAGGGGGTCATGATTTGTACAAATTTGAATCTACCTGCCTGAGGATGAATCCACATGAGTTTCATCTTTCCTGGCCCAGTGGTTCTTGAGAAGAAGATTTGTTTAAAATGCCATTAATTTTTCTCTAATTCATAATTATCTCCCCTTGGAAAAGGGCATGGCCCTTCATTTGAACAAACTTGAATCCCCTTTACCCAAGAATACTTTGTAGTAAGTTTGGTTGAAATTGGCCCAATGGTTCTTGAGAAGAAGATGAAAATGTGAAAAGTTTACAACAACAACAACGACAACGACTACGATGACAACGACGACAACGACAGACAACGGACAAATTTTGATGAGAAAAGCTCACTTGAGCCTTTGGCTCAGGTGAGCTAAAAATGGGATACAGGATTGCATTCTGACGACAAGATCAAGGATTTTACGAGACTGAAAGTTCATGAAATCAAGCTTAAATCTGCTAATAGTTATGTAAACATGTATATGAAAAAAAATCGGGACTATAAATTGATATATTGGTTACCTGATCAGTGTACTTTTCGATTTCCTTGCTATTGCCATGGGCATCATTTGCATACTTTCTACACATCTGTCTGAAAAAAAAATCAGAAATATTGCATTTTGCATGCACGTTTAGCTTGAGGTATAATTACAAGTAGTACACGACTGGAAGATGGTAAGTTTATTTCATTGTTTGATTGTTAGTGATGTGTGTGCATTGTTGATGCACTCAAAAAAGAGATATCTTTTCAAGTGGAGGAGATATCTCTCCAAGTATAATAGATATCTCTATAAGTTTAGGAGATATCTCTTTCTCAAAGAAATATCTCTTAAAAATGAGAGATATCTCTTTAAGTTGGGAGATATCTCTATTTTTAAGAGATATCTCTCTAAATTGAGAGATATCTCTGTAATTTTAAGATAAATTTTTATTTTCCGAATAAATAGCAAAAGGACTTGCCATAAGAATAAAATTCTTTGAAGAATAAAGACTTGAGACTGTAAAAATCATATCTTAATATAATAAAATAAATAAATGTCCGCATCTTAATATATCAAATGAAATAAATAATTGCAAACATCTTCTGGTCTTAAATGAAGCTCAAAGATAGAATGAACATCAATGAAAAGATATTAATGAACAATACTCACATGGAGAATTTTTTACGATCAAATCCGAGGATAACATGTATCAACTCTTGAAACAGTAAAATTAAACATCACTTATTTATGTTAATTATTTTTAAAAGTTCAAAAAATATTGTTTTGATGTATTCATTCCGATCGGTTACATACCTCTATTTATAGCATGAACTGGGGGAGGAGGTGCTCCGGCAAGTCTTGCGCATGCGTAATAATCCCCGACCGATTCAATCATGGAGGCAAGCACCCCAGCTAACATTCCAAACACAGCTGAAACACTGACAGTAGGTGTTCCCCATTGTCCTGGGAAAAAAAGAACTCTGAAGTATTTACACCTTTTAATTTACTGTGATTCGAAATTAAAAAAAAAATATACATGAACTAAGACAATAGAGAATATGATGCCTTCTTGTTCAACTATAGAATTCTTATTTACCGATATTTATTTTAATCAGAGTATATCATTGTTTACTTTTTATATTTCCTTTCCAACCTTAGACTGCATGTATGCCAGGGGATTTACAATTTCTTTGGAAATTACAACTAATTCCTCTTGTTTTATGAGATTATTCCAAACCATAAATTCCCAAGCTCCATTGAACATTGTAGCTGATGTGAGTTAAATAAGTTATTATGTTTACATATACAGCTATGATTTTGAATTCAGCTTTGATAGGAGAAGGGTAACAAGTTAGTCATAATTTGACTATATATGTATATAGACAAATTATGATTAAAAATATTAAATGAATATTTATTCATTTAATATTTAAAGGGGAAAACAGTCGACCAGGTGATTCGCTACGTTATAATGCTGGCATATTGTTACAGATACTAGTAGAATATTACATGAATTACCTGGATATGGAAATCGGAACCAGAGTGCTTTGTCTAGGACCTCTGTGTTGACATCAGTTCGGGCGGCATATCCCCACTTCCCTTTTTCGGGAAGTGCATCCGCTGCAGTCAATATGGCACAAATTATCCAAGCCGTTAAAAGGGCAAATAAAATCTATAAAACAACCATTACTGTAAATTAAAACAGAAATCAAAATTTATTTAATTCCATGTTATACGAGCACGTAATTTTTTTTCAAGCTAATACCCACCGGAAATAACTTGAATATTGGTAGTCTGTAGATAGAGCACCCGTCTTTTCGTGTAACTTTGCAAACTGGAATGCTTAAATTCCTCATATATTGTGAAAAAAGTGCTATCAAAAACATTGTCCTGAAAGAAACGTTCACAGAAATATTCCGAGAGGCAAAACAAAAATGTCTTCAAAGAGTTCAAATTACAGAAAGATACGTATCACGTTGTCGTAAAAAACGTATAGGTCACTTTATAAATAAATTCTTGATATAAATATTAGAATAGATTATAAAAATAACAAATTAGAAGTCCTATCTGATTAGGGATTAAATTATTGGATAATAAGAAGGGCGGAGAGAAAGAGAACATATTAACGAATCAATTGCCTTCACTTTTGCTTTGTGATAGCTGCAAAAATAATAGTCTTTGACTATAATGGTTATGACTCCCTATAAACAAAATTACAAATAAAATAAAACTACATATCTGCAACTATCTTTACTAGTTTTGACACAAAATTCTTCCTTACATGAGAGCAATGTACCACTGTTTCGACGCAAGGTCTGCTGCCTCTTTGAATAAGGATAAACCAATCAAAGCGATGGTGGGTGCGATGGCCAAGGGTCCTATAAACTGCATGACGAATCCCATGATTCCACTGAACCCAATGATAATTTGGAATAGTGAAGAAACCATAATGGCGCCTTGAATCTACAAATTACTTGTATTTTAAAATCAATACAAACTGTTCTTAGTAATTCAAAAATAGTTTAACTGGAATATCCTCTATCAAAAACATAGTAGTTTTTAGAATCTTGAAAAACTAGGCGAGTTGACTGTGTACCTACCTCTCTCAGACGTGCCTGCCACATATCTTGGTGTTCTGGACTACCGACATCTGGTAGTGGGTCGGATGTCACATTCCATTTTCCTGTACATTTTAATTCAAAATTGTATATAAATATAATACAAGCATGTATTTACTACAATTACAAATTCCTATTTTCTAGTGCATGAAATCTACTGTATCATAGAAACGATAAAAAAAAAATCATACATAGCGCCTGATGAAATTATGTCTAAAGAATCTGATCATGAGCTATATTCATCATGTAATAAATATAACATTGGAATAGGTGCAATTTAAGTAACGTGTAAGGTCCAGATGACAAAATTCTAGCATAGTTTAAATGATATATATCTACATATGTAGATGATCTATCAAAAAAATCCCTAGATTCTTTTTTGCGGAAATGTCGACAATGGCAAAATAGGAAAGGAGAGGAAACATCAGTGGAAAGGACAGAGGAAGGAACAAACAAATAACCAGTAAAATATCAAATGTCTAAGTCCACAACATAATCAGTAGTAACTGGTACATTAAAGAAAAAAGCCAAGGATATAAAATTACAGCGATAAAGATTCTGTGAGTACCATTAGATCGCGTGAGATGTTACAATTACCAGAAAGTATATGTAGTAAAAGCCACCATATTGTACAGATCACTTACATATTTACTGGTCTGTATAAATGAAAAGAAATAAGAATGTGATATTTTCTAAACATAACATCGTAAACGATAAAACGTATAGAGCGGATCATTTGGACCCTTACTTATGCAGCAATATACCTTCATCACCATCATATGGAGTTTATATAATTAATAATTATCTCCGTTGATTCGATACGCAAGAGCATGCTCTACGTAACTGAACAATTTCCAAAACGAGATAACTTATTAACAAACGAGTTGATGAAACAAGAATATTATCAGTCTCGTTTAAAGTCATCACTTCGAAAGTTCTATGGTCGATACAATGACCTTGTAAGCAACTTCATTTTATCATTGAGTCAATGTTGACTGACGTTTTTCCTACTGATTGTTAGTCCAATTATTTATACACTGAATTTACGACGGATTTTCCCCTTATTTCCCAATCATGAAAAGGAGCACAAGATGGCCGGTCGGCAGGGGATGCTCACCTTTCCATGGCACCAGATCCCACCTCCGATACCTCTGATGTTTCGGAGGTCCATGTTTGCTCTGCTACTATTTTGTTTTGTTTTATGGATTTTTGATCTTGAATACTGTTCGTTATCTTTATATGTTTCATATTATATGATTAAAATTCATTTTACGAATGAGACATATTTTTATATAAATATTTTGACAATTGTAACTATCGTTGCACGTGTGAAATAAATAAATGAAAACCTCATCTCATGAGTGAAGCAAATAAAATCTACATTCACCTACTGTACAAATCATTTACATTTCTGTTTATCGCATTTTCTTTAATATTTCGCTTTACTATTTTTTCCACACAGTGAAAAAAATATCACTCATATTTCATTAACAAATCACGGTAGGTATTTCATTGTTTAAAAATTAATTGCAAGAACTGTTTTGGTATTGGCATCTATTTTTTGCACGCGTATAGTTGTGGACAATACGACTGGATAAGAGTTGAGTCAAGTCACAGCGTTATGATTTTCTATTTGTGAAATATCACACTCAAACAAGAAAAACAAAGTTACCCTCTTCCGCCAAGACATATGGACATTTCCATTTGTCTAATGCCAATATTGTGAAAGTCGGTGTAAGGAACGCGAAGGTCGCCCCTTGAATGATAGGTAATCTAAAAAAAAAAAAAACCAGCAAAACCATCAAATGATTTACAAGTGCAATTAAAAAGCAATGAATCAAATTAATCTGCAGCTTCATATTGGTTAGATATGTGAATTTTCATAAAATTACATCTCTATGTGATCAATTGAATATACCTCACTCCAAGCGTTGTTTGAAGCAACGTTGCCAATCCAGATACAAAGAAAATGGTCGAAATGATTTCGCTGAGTCCCACGCGATCTTGATCAATGCAAAGAGCAGTCTGTAGAACTAAGGGGACAGTGATAGTGGAACCAAAGGCTGTAAGGTAATGCTGTAAATATATAATTAGTGATAAAGTCATAATTAACTGCATAACAGAAAGAATTCGTGTACTTTGTAGTTGGAAAATTGATAACCAAAACCACGACAATGAAAACATTTTTCTCCATCACATTCATTAACCTCCCTCATTCGATTTTTTTTTTTAAATTCCTAACCAATAACCTCATTTATTTGTACGTATAGGTATAATTCTATACTGACACGCAAAAGAAACTCAACACCCTATTTTAGGGGGAAATAATTATGTAAAGAAAAGAATTTTGTATCTTAAAATTATGAATATCTTCAATTTGGTAAACATCGGTAATTTAACGGTTGAACGATTTCCATACCATAACCGGAAGTCAAGTTTGAGTATGCTTAACAGAAATCAAAAATTGCATGTTTAACAAAACATTTGGAAATATTATGGAGTTTTAAAGGTTTTTTACTGTTCATCATAAGTAATGCAGCATTATTTCAAAAAATAAACTCTCCTTTTGTTTCTTGTAATGATGCTAAGGCTACTTGAAAATGGCCTATGTACGCATTTCCATTGCTCTAACTGGAAAATGTCAAAGTAAAGGTGATGGAGAGTTGCTGATGCGAAATTTCACTACATTACGCCTAAACAGGGTCTTACGTATCATATTCATTAAGGAAAGCCCTAGTACCGGGAGTCCAAGGGTGGCTACACTGCTCTAAGTTAGAGAAAATTCGATCTAATCATCTGAAAAACGGGCATTTAAAAATGCCAAAGAATATTTCCTTTGCTTAGATCTCGATATTAATGAACCTATTGTATCGTAGAAATTAAGCTTCAATCGTTGTTTAGGGCAGTCTTGCACGTTTTACTTTAATGGCTGGGAGGGGGGTGTTTTAACAGTCATATTTTACTTAGTAAAGTAAACAGATAAACATTTAACATTTTTATCAAATCTCTGATGTTCTGAAAAGTGAGTTTAGCCTTACTTTATTCGCTTTTGAATAGTCTTAAGATAAAAAAAATCAAACATTTGTAGATTACTGCTTGTTGCTAATTTAGTATTGAGGACCCACTCATGCTTATGAGGAAGTTACTTTAAGCAAAAAAGATAAATAAAATTCTGGATATTGAATATAATGAATCAGAATGTTCCCGATTTCATAGTTGCCGTGCGACCATTGACAGACCAGGAAGAGGTGTTGTTTTTCTGGATTTCTCTCAAGATGATCCAATTTTCTCCATTGCTGTTATACCTGTAACATAAACATGATAATTAAACAAATAACAAACTTTTTAGACACAACTTGCATTCTTGTCATGTGTTTATTGCACATTTACTCTTGCAATCAATGCAATTTTTACCAGGGATTTGAAGAGATTATTTTTTTATTTTGGTAGAGAGATTGCTTGATCACTAAGTAAAAGCAAATATCTTTGGGATAGGGAACAATTTTACAAACAAACGAACATTTTTTTTTTCATGAATGTTTTTGTACCTTGATGATTCTACATGTACTTTGATTTTTGTTTTTACACTTGGGGTTTATTTTTTAAATGTACACAATTTTATATCATTAGGTGGAGGAGCATTATCTACATGATACTTCCCTGCTGTGATCATAATATTATTGATATGTTCACTTACTGATCTACGAATGTAACTTACAGTTCTAATTCAATCTTTGCTTTCTGACATCCATACTTGATGTATCCTACTGCTGAGCTCGTCCCAGTAGTCCCAGTCTTACCCCCAATCCCAGGCATATGGCACAGACAATGGAGCTCTTTCCTGTACCATTCGGTCCAATAATTACATTTAAAGAAAGCCATCAGAAATTCTACAGAATCATAAGTCCTGCAAAACAATGATAATTGCATGAATTATATATAGAAAAATATTATAAAAGAAATCTTATTCAGTTTTTAAACGTTAAAAATTGAGTCTAGATATTTTAAAGCATGAATTTTATATGGTTAATTCAAAGACAATTCCATTGACATTCCAGTGTTTTAGAACTTTAATTAAGCCAACTTTGAAAAACCAACAATAATTTTGGCCCCTTTTAAATATAATTTTTTGGGCGAGCCAGACTAAAAATCAGGTCGTCCGAAATCATTTCTGGATGGAAATGACGAGGTGACGAGCGCGAATGTCTAACCCTGTACTTGTTTCACTATAGTTTTAATTACTTGCAATTTAAATAATTTCATTATTTGACTATTTTCCTTTTTGGTGATTTGTGTACAAATCAATTAGCTCATTCAATGATCCACAGATCAATTCTAGTGAAGGTAGCTCTAGTCAACTTTCAGACAACATTGTCTAACTGCTCTTGTTCCCTCTAAAGTTAACAGTTATACATAAATGTTGATCCCTGGTTAACATGTTCAAAAATCTACTAAAATAAAACATTAAAAGACTGACTGAAACCACCAATTAAAGATATGACAAGATTTCAATCCAAGATGCAGTTTCTTCAACACTTGATCAACTTGAAAAAAAAACCTTTTATCAATCTCACAACATGTTCACAACCATTAAACGTCAGAAATCAGTCATTTACTAAATTAATAAATCATTAAATACAATAATATATTAAACATGAACATTGTGCAATCAACAGGTCCAGTCTAAAGACTATTTTTACCTATGTAGCTATTAATAGCTAAGTAGGTATTTAAACTACCCAAGTAGATATTTTTACCTACTTTCTTCTTTACTTGCATTTTGTGGCCAAACGCATAACTGCGCAACATGGTGAATACCATATTTTTTTATACAGTGTGATGATGAATATAACAAAATTTTGGTCAAAAAATGATTACTCTCTGAATTGGCAATTTTACATTAGTTTCTATGCAAAAATGATAATATACGAAGTAATCATTTTTTGGCCAAATTTTTGTCATATCCATCATTAGTGTGATTGTATCATGAAATCTGGAGCTCACCATGTTGCGACGTTCCTGCGTTTGGCCACAAAATGCAAGTAAAGCACAGAGTAGGTAAAAATAGCTACTTTGGGTAGGTTTAGATACCTACGTAGCTATTAATAGCTACGTAGGTAGAAATAGTCTTTGGACTGGACCTGATCAATTTAATCCGACTGACATGTACACCCTTTTAAAGAATTATAGTTCTACATAGTGATGATACTAGAACAAGTCCCACAAAGAAAATAAGTCCCACATGACTCCCACAGCACTGACAAATCTCTGTGTATGCAGCATTTTCGATTTCACAAAAACATTTTTTCTGTTCTACATTGCTAAAACGATTTGACAAAAAATTCAATGTACACATTGTTGGAAAAATATTGACACAAAT